CATTGATAATCTATTCCATGAAATCTTGGAAGAAAACTTTCCAAATCTAGAGAGAGATTCAAATATCCAGACCCAAGAAATACAAAGGACCCCTAATAGAATCAACCCAAGAAGACCTTCTCCAAGGCTCATCATAGCCAGACTGGCCAAATCTACAAAGACAAAATACTAAAATTGGCAAGAGAGAAACATCGGGTTACTCATAAAGTTTATCTAATCAGGCTAACCTCAGACCTCTCATCAGAAACAGTGTGAGCAAGGAAAAAATGGGAAAATATATTCAAAGCGTTAAGTGAAAAACAGTTTGGGGACCAGCAGGTGGCATAATGGCTATGTCTCCGGACCCCATGTAGTCGACCATGGTTCAAGTCCTGGACCCGGTGGCTTGAACTCACGCTGGGTGCGTGTGCGTGCATGCCCAAGATCCCGAGAGGAGAATGGAGGAGAAGGGATTGAGGCATGGCCATCCCCAGGGAGGTGATTTCTCGCTTTCTGTCTGTCTCTGTCTTTCTGACGAGCGCACGCGCCCTATAGCAAAAACCTCTCCAAAAAGAAAAAGAAAGATGCCCTGGCACCATAAATAGTTCTGCCTGGCAGAGAGGATTAGAGAAGATATATGATAGAATTTATGACATAAAATAACCCGGACTATTCCAGCCCAGCACTGTAATCAGTAGATTGCAAAAGAGCAACCACACCAGAGGATTATCTTGAGAAAGACTTTGAAGGAAGGAAAAGAGACTGATCTTTGCTAGCAGATGGTGTATCACAGAACACTTGGCAGGCAGGGCTGAACTGAGAAGTTTTATGTGTGAGTTGTGTGCTGGGCGTTTGCTTTTCAACAATTCGAGTAGTTGACAGGTGAATGCTTTCTCAAATATTTAAAGCCATACTGTCTCCGTTGTTATAGAGTTACAAACAAGATTATACAAAATTATAAGAAATATTCTGAACATTATCTTTAAAATTCAGTACTTTGAAATTCTGAAAGTTGTTTATTACCTATGAAGAACTATAGATAAGAGCAAAAATTTTTTGATATGTAAAGTAAATGTGGAAAAATGTAAAAATAAATAAATAAAAAGAAAAACATTGACAAATGGAACGAAATATTTTTTTTAAAGGTAATTCAGGGACCAGCAGTTAGCGTAATGGCTATGTCGCTGGATTCCCATGTAGTCAACCGCGGTTCGCATCCCGGACCCGGTGGCTTAAAACTCACGCCGGGTGTGTGTGCGTGCGTGCCCAAGATCCCGAGAGGAGAATGGAGGAGAAGGGATTGTGGCATGGCCATCCCTCCTGGGGGGTGATTTCTCGCTTTCTGTCTTTCTGTCTCTCTCTGTCTGTCTGGCGAGCGCATGCACCCTATAGCAAAAACCTCTCAAAAGAAAAAAAAAAAGTAATTCAGAGGAAGACATGAGACAAGACTGGCTGTAAGTTGCTAATTATTAAAGCTGAGGGAGGAGCAAGGAGGACCTTTTATAGTAATCTCTCCCCTTTTGTATGCGTTTGAAATTTTCTATATGAAAAGGTTAAAAAGAAAAGTTTAAAAAAAGTTTTTTTTTTTTTTTTTAAGGGAGAGATTTTTGTTATAGGGCGCATGTACTCACCAGAGAGACAGTAAGCGAGGAATCACCCCCTCAGGGTGGATGACCACTCTGCAATCCTTTCTCCACCATTCTCCTCTCAGGAGTTTGGGCACCATACATACACGTGCCCGGCATGAGATTTAAGCCGCTCTGTCCAGGACTTGAACCGTAGTCGACTATGTGGGATTCTAGCAACATAACCGTTATACCATATGCTGGTCACAGGTTTAAAAATATTTTAAAGGGCCAGTCAGTGGCATGGTGATTAAGGTAGCTTGATCTCACATAGCCAACTATGTGGTTTGGTCCTGGACCTGGTAGTTTGAAAAACATGTCAGGCACATAAATGTGTCCATGTGTGCCCAAAATCCTGAGAGGAGAACAGAGAAGAGATTAAAATGTGGCCTTTGCCTGTGGGAGTGCTTTCTCACTTTCTCTTTCTCTGTCTCTCTCTCTAGTGAGCACACATGCCCTATCACAAACTAATTTAATAATATTTTATTATTAGTAAAACATCTGTTTTGTCACATTGTGATGAAGGTTAAATGAGATGGGGGTTGGCTGGTGGCGTAGTGGTTAAGGGTGCTGGACTCCCACATAGCCGACTGTTGTTCAAGTCCCAGACCGGGTGGCTTGCTTTCTCTTTCTCTCTCTCTCTCTCTCTCTCTCATCTCTCTCTCATTCACTGTGTCCCTCTATGGCCAAATTAAAATAAATAAATAAGTAAAATTAAATAAAATAATTCTTTAAAAAAATATTTTATTGTGTGATTTTATTGTGTTTGTGTAAGGACTAGAAAGTCCCCAACCCTCTCTCTCGCTTTCTCTGTCTCTCTCTGATCAAACTGGAAAATAAGAATAATAATAAATAAAAAGTTAAATAAAAAATAGTTCATAATAAAAAGATGAAATGATTTAATATATGTGAAGTGCCTAGGACAGTGCTTGACCACCAGTAGTTGTCCGCTAAACACAGGCCAATAGCACTTGTGGGAGGAGATTGATAAACATAAGACACTGGGCCAGCAGATGGTGTAGTGGTTACATCACTGGACTCCCACGTGGCTGACCATGGTTCGAGTCCCAGTGACTTGAAAAATCAGACTGGGCGCGTGTACGTGCATGCCCAAGATCCCAGGAGGAGAGTGGAGGAGAAGGGATTGTAGCGTGGCCATCCCCTCCGGGGGTGATTTCCCACATTCTTTCTCACTGTCACTGTGTCTCTTTCTGGCAAGTGTATGTGCCATAGGGCAGAAACTTCTTCAAAAAAAAAAAAAGAGAAAAGAATAGAAAAGAATCATGAGACAAGGGATCAGCAGGTGGCATGGTGGTTAAGTCACTGGACTCCTACATGGTCAACTACAGTTCAAGTCACAGATCCAACAGTTTGAAAAATCATGCCAGGTGTGTGTGTGTGTGCATGTCCAAGATCCTGAGAGGAGAATGGAGGAGGAGAGATTGCGATGTGGCCATCTCCTCTGGGTGGTGATTTCTTACACTCTCTCACTCTGTCTCTCTCTGTTGAGCACACACACACACCTTATGACAAAAGCCTTAAACACACACACACACACACAAAGAAAAAACTTCTACCTTGGCTCTTCCCCAATTTCACAACCCCCCACACTAGCAGTCATGTTCCTCCATAATCTCTGTGTCCACCACAAGGCACCCTCGGTGCGGGGGAGGCACTGCTCCCCACTAGGGCCCTGGCCCAACTGTGAATACCAATCACTTCTGTGGGCCTGGGGGAAGGGGCTTCTGAACTAAGTCCTAAAGAGGGAGGTCATTTCCTTGTCTTGCAGAACCACAGAGCTCCAGGCATGAGGACAGGCACCCTCGGGGTAGCCTTTTCTTTCCTCACAGAAATAACCAGAGTGTCCTTGTCTCCAGGCTACGCTTCGCTAGAGAAGGTTCTAGAAGAGGGTGTTACTGGGAGTTGGGCAAAACCAAGAGGGCAGAGGACCTGGCACTGGTTCAGGCCCTCTGGCTCAGTGGAGGGTGGGAAGTAGGGAATGCTTTGCATCTTAAGCAGGGATCTCTCTGCTTCCACAGAAAAGAGCATACTGCACAGCTTGTGAGTCTACGAGGAAGTACAAGGTGAGGCCATAAACCCCAGGCCTTTTTTGGGATAACTTGGGAAGGTCCTGGCCTGCTACTGGGGACACTTCAGCTAGCCACTGGTCCAGAAGGGAGGGATCAAAGTGCCAGTGTGTGGAGCATGCACCTATCTGGCCTGAAAGGTCTTGGCGGGGAGCGGGAGAGCCTGGACTCAGTGGTGATAGGAGTGTGGTCATCTGTGCCTCCTTCTTCTCAAAGACACTACCCCCCATCAAGAATGAGCAGTCTACCAAGCGGCCCGCCAGCTGGAACCTGCAGATCCCAAAGAAGGAGAAAACCTGGCCACGCCCAGAGCCGCCCCTGCCAGACATGCTCGGCCTTGGCCTCACTGCTCGAGCCCACGCCACTGACTACTTCCTTGCCAACTTCTTCTCAGAGTTTCCCTGTCACTTCTTGCACCGGTGAACTCTCAGGGGGGCAGGGGTCCCCTTCCTCCACCCTCTGTCTTCTCTTCCACTCTAGAACTGCCCAGGTCCAACCCTTGGTGAGGGGTTGGAGCAAGTATAGTGATGGTGGGACCAACTGGGCCACCCTCAGGCCCAGGATGCCCCTGGTACTGCTTAGACCCTTATGAGGAAAGGGGCAAAGCTGTCAGGGCTCCCTAGGGAATCACTCAGGCCTCTTCACCTGTCCTCATTCCTTTCTTTTCCAACCTAGATCCTCCCTAGGGCCTACGCTGACCCTGAGGGGCGGGCTTGGTCCCCTGGATGCAGTTCACTACATTTGGATTAAGGCCAGGGGTGCCTCAGACTCATCCTTGTCCTCACAACTGGGGAACTACCGTCATGGTGGGTGCTGTCACCCCCACCATGGTGTCTTGCCCAGGCCACTCAGAATGCCATGATCTGCTCCAGGGAGCTGCCAAAGAGGAAGGTCCCTGGAGATGAGGAGGCTGTTGAGGATGAATCCCCTAAGATCAGGAGAGCCCCCGACTCCAGGTGGGAGAAGGAGCTGCTAGTGGACTGTCTCACCACCATCATCAGGTAACGGCCCACTTCCTGGGCCTCCCCCCCCCAACACCTATTTCTTTTTTTATTTTCTGTTATTTTGAAAAATATATTTATTGGGACCAGCAGATGATGTAATGGCTATATCGCTGGACTCTCATGTAGTCGACTGTAGTTCGAGTCTCAGACCCGGTGCCTTAAACTCACTCCAGGTGCATGGGGGTGCATGCTCAAGATCCTGAGGGGAGAATGGAGGAGAAGGGATTGCAGCGTGGCCATTCCTCCTGGGGGGTGATTTCTCGCTTTCTGTCTCTCTGTCTCTCTCTGTCTTTCTGGCAAGCACACGCACCCTATAGCAAAACCCTCTCAAAAAAAAAAAAAAGAGAAAGAAAAAAAAATATATTTATTTATCTATTTATTTACAGTCATTCACTGTACATCAATACAGTATACAAAATGAGATTTTTTCATATATATATTTATCTATTTATTTACAGTCATTCACTGTACATCAATACAGTATACAAAATGAGATTTTTTCCATCCAGTATACATTGTATATTGGCTCAACGAAGGATATTGCCATATGTGTTATCAACAAATACATGTCTATTTCTTGTTTCTTACATGTTTCATTTTTTTCCTCCCCTGATTCCCTACTTCACCTGATCTTATATATTTATCTATTTATTTACAGTCATTCACTGTACATCAATACAGTATACAAAATGAGATTTTTTCCATCCAGTATACATTGTATATTGGCTCAACGAAGGATATTGCCATATGTGTTATCAACAAATACATGTCTATTTCTTGTTTCTTACATGTTTCATTTTTTTCCTCCCCTGATTCCCTACTTCACCTGATCTACCCTCTGCCAACTTCCCCCCTTCTCCCACACTGTCTCTGGTATGTACAGTTGTTTTCCATACCTTTTTTTTTTCACATTTTATTGATTCACTAAAGATCTTAATTAATTTAAACACTTTTGATAGCAAGCACAGCTGACATATACATATTTATGAATGCATGTCTGACTTTAGGCATAAATCTCAGTGAGTAAAGTGAACATACTATAGTAGCACCTCGCTGGAGCTATATAGCTTATTGCAGTCATTATTAGGTATTAATAGGTGTTTTTTGTTTGTTTGTTGAAGAGGTTTTTGCTATAGGACGTGTGTGGTCGCCAGAAAGACAGACAGAAAGCAAGAAATCACCCCCCAGGGGGGATGGCCACACCGCAATCCCTTCTCCATTCTCCTCTTCGGATCCTGGGCACACACGCACACCTGACTGGCATGAGTTTACACACACCCACCTGGCATGAGTTTATGCCACCGGGTCCAGGACTCAAACCATAGTCGACTACATGGGAGTCCAGCAACATAGCCATTATGCCAACTGCTGGTCCCAATAGGTGTTTTTTAATGCATTTTTAATTTCAAATAAAAGTTTTAGTTTTAATATATCAAAATCAAAAATGATAAGATAAATTTGCTTAAAACTTAACGCCAGGAAAAAGGTTAGACTTCAGTTCAAATAGTAGGTAAACGAACCTATCAACAGTTCAAGAGGGCCAGTAGGTGGCATAGTGGTTAATGTGTTGGAATTCCCACATGACTGGCCATGGTTTGAGTCCCAGACCTGGCAGCTTGTTTTCTCACTCTCCCTCTCTCTGTCTTTCTCTGGTAAAACTCATGTGAAAAATAATATGAACAATAATAATAATAAATGAATAATTATTTAAAAAACCAGTTCAAGAGATGACAAAAATCCTTACATATGAAAATCAAAACATTGAATAAAATCAGTAATGTTTTACTCTAAAATTTTTAAAAAATCCTATTTCACTAATTCAGACTCATGAAATTAATCTTTCTTTTATTGAATTTGTGGTGTTACTGTGGTCTGATCTTTCCATTTAAACTCTGGAAGTTAACATTCAACTCCAGACTTGACCCTACCATTAGACTGGCCATTCTCTTGGTTGTTTCTTGTACTCTTATTTCTGTGTGTCTGACTTCAGTTTTCCTGAAATAGCATTCTCTTCAGCACTTCTTGGAGAATTTATCTGGTGTTGGTAAGTTCTTTCAGGTTTTGTTTATCTGAGAATGTTTCTGTGAGTTTTTTTTTTTCCCCCATAAGAAAGATAATCTTGTTAGGTATAGTATTCTTCGTTGAAACTGCTTTTCACTTAATACTTTGAATATATTTTCCCATTCTTTCCTTGCTTGCATTGTTTCCAATGAGAGGTCCGATGTTAGCCTTATGGGATACCCTTTGAGAGTAACTTGATGTTTCTCTCTTGCCAATTTTAGTATCTTGTCTCCATCTGTGGTTTTGGTCAATCTGACTATAATGTGCCTTGGGGAAGATCTTCTTGGGTCAGTTCTATGTGGGGTCCTTTGTATTTCTTGAGTCTGGATATTTGAGTGCCTCTCTAGGTTTGAAAATTTTTCTTCCAGGATTTCATGGAATATATTATCAATGCCCTTCTTAGTTTCTTCACCTGGAATACTGATAATCTGGATGTTTGGGCGTTTAATGGTATCTAGTATTACTCATATGTTATTCTCATTTTTTGGGGTTATTTTCTCAGTGTTTTTTATACACCCATTTCTCTAGTTCATACAACCAAAACCCCTGAAGTTCAGGTACTTTCTTTCTTGAGAAACAGAACTTCCTGTATGATGTCTTCCCAGGCACCTGTCACCCCTGCACCTTCAGGATGGTACAGCTCTAACAGAAGGATCCTCAGGGGCTGGCCCTAAGTTCTGCCCTGTCCTATGGCCAGTAGATGAAGTCCAGAGCCAGTTTATTCCACTAGGGCCCCTTCCCCTCCATCTGTGTAATTCTGGCCTGCTGGCTCATCTCCACCATATCATGTTCACCTCTAAGAATCCATTGGGCCCAAAGTTACGTTCCTTGGCAGAGGGATGGATGGAAGGAGCGACTGACCAAGAGCTCCCCTACCCCATCCAACACCCACTTGTGAAAACAGTAGGCAAGGCCAGCCCTTGGGGACCCCTGAAGCCAAAACTCCCCAGGGGTCTGCCAGGCCCCTCAGCCAGGGCCTTCTCCTCCTCCCCACCCCAGGGGCCTTCTGGAAGACAAGAACTTCCATGAAGCCGTGGACCAAAGCCTGGTGGAGCAGGTGCCGTATTTCTGCCAGTTCTGGAACGAGCAGTCGGCCAGGTTCATGGCCCAGAAGAGCAGCCTGTACTTCATGCCAATCCTCTCTCCATCCTCCAGCAGCGGGGAGGGGGAGACAGGCAAGGAGCAAGAGGAGCACAGGCTGAGGCTGGGGAAGAAGAAACCGAGAGAGGAGGAGGAGAAGGGTGAAGAGGAGGAGGAGGATGAAGAGGAGGAGGAGGACGAAGAGGAGAAGGGCGAAGAGGAGGAGAAGGGCGAAGAGGAAGAGCTGGAAGAAGAGGAGGAAGAGGGAGGAGAAACGGAAGATGATGAGGAGTTTGGCAAGGAGGAGCTCGAGGAGGAGGATATAAAGGAGCAGGAAGTGAAGTCGACCTGGATAAGGAGTGAGCCCTTGGTGCAGTCCAGGTCCCAGGAGTCCCTGAAATGGCAGTGGCAGCAGCGGCTGAAAGACTTGGTGAAAGAGGATCAAGAACAGGACGAGAAGGAAGCCATTGGAAGGTGAGCAGCCAGGCCCAAGTGAGGCTGAGAGAGGGGGCCGTGTGCAGTAGGGTCCTAGGAGGCAATGGCTTGAGAGGCCGCCCCTTACCTGTGTGTAGGTCTGCCTAACTCACCATGCAGTCAGTGACATCACACTGGCAGCTTGGGCCCCAGTGGGAGTACTTGCAGAATGGCAACGCTGAGCGTAATTTTTTCATTTTCCCCTGAGAGCCTGTGCTAACATTTACCAGCAAAATAAGTAAATAAGTAAACATTTACCAGCACACCACTGACCAGAGAGTGGTTATCATCTTCAGGGGCTCTTCAGTGGGTTTCTTGAGTCAGAGAAGTTCTACCTTTTCTGGCTCCCTGCACTGTCTTCTGGACATTTTCTGTCCTTGTTGGGATTCCCTCGGTCCCACCCCATGCCTCTGCACTCTCTCCTCACTCGCTGCCCTGCTCCAAACCTGGCCCTGGGATACCGGCTACATTGCCCACAGTTGAATCCCGCCGTTCTCCCAGCAGCACATTTGACACTTTAGCCACATTTTGAGCATATATAAAATTGAAATAACGGGGAACCAGCAGTTAGCGTAATGGCTGTGTCGCTGGACTCCCACGTAGCTGACTGTCGTTCCCATCCCAGACCCGGTGGCTTAAAACTCATGCCGGGCACATGTGTGTGCGTGCCCAAGATCCCAAGAGGAGAATGGAGGAGAAGGGATTGCGGTGTGACCATCCCCCCGGGGGGATTTATCGCTTTCTGTTTCTCTGTCTCTCTGTCTGTCTGGCGAGCGCTCGTGCCCTATAGCGAAAATCTCTCTCTCAAAAAAAAAAAAAATTGAAATAAGGATGCCCCAGAGCATAGAGGTGGGGTCGGGGAGCTAAACCAGAATCTGCGAGGCGCACTCCGCACACTGAACTGCGCCAAGGTGGTGAGACCGGAAAGCGCGCACCGGCTGCATCCTCACCGACGCTCACACCTGTTTCGCGGCTTGCAGGCTTTCGGCCTTTGCCAACCTGCAGGAGGCGCTGCTGGAGAACATGATCCGGAACATCCTGGTGGAGGCGAGCCGCGGGGAGGTGGTGCTCACTTCAAGGCCGCGCGTCATCGCCCTGCCGCCGCTCACCATACCCAGGTGGGGGCGCCCTGGACAGCGGCCGCGGGGAAGGCACGGGAGGGGTGCGAGGGCGGCCGCTGAGGGCAGGCTGGGCCGGAAGGCTGACTCCCACGCCTCCCTGGGGTTTTCTGCCTTCCAGCATACTGAGCCCCAGCTAGCTGTTGCCGACGCAGCAGACCGAGGCCCAGCGCGCGACCGCGCCTATTGCCAGCTCCTGGGTGCCGATGCCCAGCCGCTCCAGCATGCCGCCCATTTCCCCACTGCCCCGCCAGTAAAGCGTTTTTCCTTTGCCAAGCTTGTCTTTATTTCCCCACGCGCGCTCTGAGAGGGATGGTCGGGGTAGACCAAGGTGCCTCGTAGACCTCCAGAGAAGGGACTTCGAGGCTGGCAGGTGCGCCTTTCCCCTCCACCCCGCAGCTGGGCGCAGGACCTGTCTGGCCAGCGGAGGGCGCTTAGGGTGGAGCCTGACTAGCCTTTGCCCCAAAGTAGCCTGGACAGGCGCCGAGCTCTAAGTCTGGTCAGCCAAGCAGGTGGCCACGGGGCGGCGCGACCGCTGCTCCCTTTTCCGCGACGCATCTCACCCAGAGCCAGACTTTGAGCGTTTCCGGGCTCCGGAACGCCGCTATGAGATTGGAAAGAAGGGGAACTGAGGTACGTCCCAGAGGGCCAGGAACTAGGCGCCGTAGCACGGTCCTAGGTCTCCGGTAGACAGCGGGCCACAGACCCTACTAAGCGACTCCCACTTAGAGAATCAATTCCCAGACTAGGATGTCCACCTTCCCCAGAAGTCCCATCTCTCCGTTCCCCCTGAGCCCAGCCGGGCAGGCTCCATCCTCTGCTCCTCGCCCCTCCCCCCACATCTCCTCCCCGCGGGTGGGTGGAAAAGTGACATCTGGTGTTGTTCCAGAGGCGCCCAGGTCCCCAGCACCCCTCCCCTTCACCCCTACTGCCAAGGCCTCGGAGAAGCTCCTGTCTTAGAGCCTGGGCTGGGGGGGGAGGGTGGTGCTCCGCCTCCATGAGTCAATATTTGCCCCGAGCAAACGGGCACCCGGACAGGTGTGAGTGAGTGAGTGTGTGTGTGTGTGTGTGTGTGTGTAGGGGCGGGGACTGGACAGGCAGTATAAGAGCGCGTCTAGCTGGGGCTCCGGCACAAGCTCCGGGGCGTGGGCTGGGGACGAAGCCAAGCAGGGCCTGGCAGGGCGGAGGGGCCAGAAAAGCCGGGTGGAGGGCGGCCAGGAAGGGAGGGGTGGCCAGGAAGGGAGGGGCGGGCCGGGCGCGCACC